GCAAAGACAGCTGTTACTTGTCCAAAGGAAAAGCCCATGGCTTTTCACAGTCCCTGGCCAGATGCAGCAGAAGCATAGCAAATAAAGAAGAAAGGCACTGAAGGCCTAAGGCTGGGTCCTTTTGCCCCCAAATGCCATGTAGTCATCGAGAGAACATCTGATCATCCCAGGAGAATGAAAGCGAAGTCATTCCGGCCTGTTGTCTGAGCCCCGACTGCAGCCTCTCTGCAAGCGCGGCTCTGAACCTGGGATAAGCCAAGAGCCCTTTAGCAATCTGATGATGCTTGGGAACCCCTTTCTCAAAATAACGTTCTTAAAGGCATGGAATAAAGCACAGGGGATTATAGAGGAAATTATTTTGAAGACAATTATCAGAAAAGTAAAGCAAATGTGTGGCACATTACTTTTCTTATTCATGCATTAAAGAACAATGTGGACCATTGTTTTTAAATAATGATTACTATAAATGATATTTAGGATATCGGAATGCAACTACCATAGGATATGAAAATATCCGTCATTTCTGTTGGTAACAAAGTGACAGGCCCAGCTAATCCCACTGGGCTGTGCTGTGTGCATTCCCAGTGAGGAGAGGGAGGCAGCTGAGGATGCCACACTCCTGTGCCCACCTGGGGCATTCGTCAGGCTTGGAGCCCTCTCAGAGAAGCATAGGAAGTTTCCTATTGCCAGGGAAAGAGAGGATTTTTTTTTAAAGTTTTGAACAAATATGTTTATTAAAAAGTCAAAGTATTCACATATGGAGGATGGCTGAATTTTGGAAATAAAGGCTGGAGATAAACCCCTAAAACCTCATCCAGGGCCATGGCTCAGATCCAGGGGTCTGCTCATCAGCCCTGGTAAGGTGGACAGTCCCTTCTATTTTTAACAGCTTTATTCCAATATAATTCACATAAACTTCACCCATTTAAAGTGTAGAATTCAATGGTTGTTGGTATTTACACAAATCTCTAGTTCTAGAACATTTCTATCACCCCAGAAAGAAACCCCCTCCCTCCCAATTCTCCCTACCTCTCAGCCCCTGGCAACCATGAGTCATGGATTTGCCCATTCTGGACTTTTCACATTACAGAGGATTCTCGTCACGTGTGGTAGTTTGTTCTCTAAAATTGACACGGTCACTGAATTACTGAGCACGGAACCATTGCTTCCAGGGGAATACAGGCTTAGGTTCCTGTGAGCCTCTGGTCACAACATTCTCATCAATACACAATCCTTGAATAATGAGAATCAACTCCAAAAGTCATCATACAATATGGGAACTTCTATGTCTGGCTTCTCTCACTTTTAAACATAAGGTTTCTGAGGTTCATCCATCTGTAGCATGTGTCAGTGCATCATTTTTTTACGGCTCAATAATATTCCACTGCATGACTAGACACACACACGCATGCACACACTTTGTTGACTAGACACACGCACGCATGCACACACTTTGTTGACTAGACACGTGCATGCACACTGCTGACTAGACACACATGTGTGCACACTTCGACTAGACACATGCACATGCACGCACTTTTTTTACTAGACACACACACACATGCACACACTGTTGACTAGACAAATGCGCATGCACACACTTGACTAGACACGTGCGCATGCAGTTGACTAGACACACACACGCATGCACACTTTGTTGACTAGACACACACGCGCATGCACGCACTTTATACATTCATCAGCTGATGGACGCGTGGGTGGTTCCCGCCTTATGGATATTGTGAATAATGTTGCTATGAACATTTGTGTACTTTTTGTGTGGGTGCATTTTTCCATGTGCTAGTATTTTGCTGAAGGGTTTTTACATCTACATTCATAAAGGAATGCTATTCTGTAGTTTATTACAGTGTCTTTGTATGGTTTGGAGGAAGAGATTATTTTAAGCAACAGATTAATTTTTCTTTTTTTTGAGACGGAGTTTCGCTCTGTCACCCAGGCTGGAGGGCAGTGGTGCAATCTTGGCTCACTGCAACCTCCGCCTCCTGGGTTCAAGCGATTCTCCTGCCTCAATCCAGCGAGCAGCTGGGACTACAGGCACGTGCCACTACATCTGGCTAATTTTTATATTTTTTTAGTAGAGATAGGGTTTCACCATGCTGGCCAGGCTTGTCTCGAACTCCTGACCTCAAGTGATCCACCTGCCTTGGCCTCCCAAAGTGCTGGGATCACAGGCGTGAGCCACTGCGCTCAGCTGAGAAACAGATTAATTTTTTTAAGCATAATTGGGGTCTATTTCGACATGTATTAGGAGAATGCTGACTTTTCCTCTGTGATCGTAAATTCTCTCTTAAAATATATTTAAATAAAATATGTCCGTGTACAGAAAGTTATTAAGTAAATGACAGAGTGGGTATGGCTGCAGTAGAATCATGAAAATAGCATGACCGTGACTGACCCCTCAACACCCCTGCTGCAGTAAAAAGGCTGTGGGATTGAGTGTTGCCTCTCAGGGGGCCTCAGCTCTGCCCCAAACACACAGATTACTAAACATCCGCACAGATTCCTATGCAGGGAGGGTGCCTGACTGTGCACAGGATACAACTGCCCCTAATCGCCACCTGGAATGTCGTCATCTTTACAGGCAAATCCACTGAGGACAGTGAGAGGCAGCTCTGATTTTCCCAAGGACAGGACCGAGGGGCCAGTGATGTATACGCAGGACCAGCCAAGGGCTTGTCATCAGCAGATTTCGCTATTAAGCCCTGACAACAACCCCAGAGGCAGGCACTGCCACCCGTGCCACAGGTGAGGACATGAGAGCTCTGCAGGACAAGGCGCGTGGCTGTGTCACAAAGCCAGGGAGAAGGTGGGGTCTGAGTTCGGGTCTCCCTAGCTCCACGCTGTAACATGACAGAGAAAGGCAGGGGCTGCTGGCGACATGCTCACGCTACAACCACGAGACGTAGAAATCCTAAGCCAGCTAGTTAAACTGGGCTACTACTCAGAGGGCAGAGGAAGAAGGAAAAAGAAATGACGAAGACTGAACACAGGCCCAGCCAGCAAGCCGGAAAGAGGCGGAGCTGTCCAAGCCACTGCTGGAGGTTAGTACATCCCCACTGGCAACACACAAGCCCACTTTCTGGTCCCACCTCAGCTTTGGTGCATCCCGAGTAGAGGGTGCCAAGACTCCTGGGGCCAATTGCCAAAGGGCACGGTGCCTTCTGCCGGCCTTCACCCCAGCTCCACAGTCAACAGGGCCAATGACTTGTTTCCTGCACAACGGGCAACAGAGCCTGTGTGCACATCTGCAGGTTACACCACACCCTTCTTCACACCATTGCTCAACCCACACCATGTGTCAAATGCTGTGACCTCGGATGGCAGGGCTACAGCCAGGAACACACGCCCCGCAGCGCTCCTGGTCGGGTGGAGACGGACGGCAAACTAGCTCCGTAAGCAAGGGACAGAGCACAGAGGAAGCTGAGTAAGAGGACAGAGGACGACGTGCAGAGGGGAACACGGGCTCATCAGATCAAGCAGCTGAGACCAGGCCTTCCTGAGAAGGCAGCCTGTGAACAGATACAGATACCCAGGCAATGTGAAGGGGTGGAGAGTTCCAGGTCAGGGGGCAGGGCGCACAGGCCTCCATTCCAGGACCAGCAAAGCAGCAGGTGGCTACTGCAGAGGGCAGCATACAGAGGACCGAGGTGTGGCGTGCTGGAGGCTGTGCAGAACCCTGCAGAGACAGTGAGGGTCCTTGTCCCCCAGCAACCCTGAGGGACTGATGCGGAAGCTGAAGCTCAGCCCGTCCCCCAGGCCACTGTGAGGAAGTGACAGCTGTGTTGACTTCTCAGCACCATCAGCAGGATACCCAGGCCCAGCGAGAACTGCAGATGCAGAGTGTTCTGATCTTGTGCCAGAGAATCTGTCTGAAGTGAGGTCAACGAGTCTCCTGCCGTTCCCTTCATCACCACAGATGGGAATAACAGCCATCACTAGTATTTACAGAGCAGGGGCGAGGAGCTGGCGGCACGCTGCTCAGCATCACCCTTACAGAAACTGGATGGGGGCTACTATGTGAGTACCCTCGCTTTGCAAAGCAGGACACTGGGGTGAAGGAGGCGGAGGGCCTCGCCTGAGAACTCGCCCAGCCTGCCTCCCGCCCAGCACCCTGCCGCTGCTTCCTGTAGTCTCAGCTCAGGCTTTCCTCCGGGAAACCTCTCCTAGCTGTCCCAGAGACTCTGGCAGCAGATCCACGAGGGCAGACAGGGCACACGGCAACCTCACTTTGCAAGTGTCACCACTGGCTGCTTGGCTCCTTGAGGTGGTCAGTGTTCACCACGTGCACTGCGGGGCCGCCCAAAGAAGGAGAGGCAGTCAGTTATAAAAATGCCATTTTCCCAATATCAAGCCTCACCTGCAGGTCCTTCTTTCTTTCAGCGTATTATTTTGAAACAACAAGGTTCTCCGAAGTTTGGAGATGGAAAAAAAAATCTAAATGCAGTTCAGAGACGTGAGCAGTATGAGGTCCCACAGTACGTCAGCAGCAGGGCACCCCTTCCCTTTCAGCCATTAACCTATGTTAGTAATTTATTTTAACATAAAATGATATTATTAGTTATGGCGAAACTGGGCCTCAGAGCTAAAAGTTAACCAGTTATCATCTAAAGCTAACATATTCCCTACTCCCAACGAGACGACGGAAAGCACGCGCCAGTAACCCCAAGTTTCATTCTGAGGCCACTGACTCAAGCCTCCTTATCATTGAGTTATTTCACTTCTAGTTAAACGACTGGAAGTATCAATATTACTCTTTCTTCAGTATTTAAAAGTCAGAAGTCAATACCGTTTAAGGTAGAAAACACAATGTGAGAATTTTAAGTATATTAAATTAATGTTGATCAAACACATTTTAATTTCTTTAATCTCCTACTACAGGTTAGAAAACAGAACCAAATGTAATGACAGAAAAAATGGAAAACTGTATTTTAAAAATGATTGTTCAACAAGACCAGGCAGCCACTCAACCACTTCAGTACCTCGTTTCTGGATGAAGACCCTGAGCAGGGGGTTTGCACTGGAAACCGCCTTGCAGAAGTTGTCGTCATTGTTGATGGGCAGCAGGTCTCCGTGCACATCTGCGTAGCCAATAGTTACATCACTGTTGGAGATATGGTGGGTGTGCACAACCAGCTTGTAGAAATCTTCAAACTTCCCAGGCTTATGACGGTCCAGAGAGAACCTTCGGAATTCCGCCCCAAACTGCAATGCAAGAGACAGGGGTTGGGGTGGGGGGGCATTAATAAACACCAGAGAAATATCCAGAAACAGGGTGTGGTTAGTGTACTTAGCAAACAATCATTTATATTCCACATTTTCTTTAATCAATCATCCACTGATAGACACTTAAGTGATTTCATCTTTGCTATTATGAATCGTGCTGGAATGAAGATACAAATGCAGGTATTCTTTTAATACGATTTACTTTCCTTTGGGTAGAAACACATAGTAAGACTGCGGGATCCAATGGTAACTCCATTTTCAGTTCTGAGATATCTCATACCGTTTTCTGCAGAAGCCAATGAATTTAAAATGTTGTATTAAAAAAATAAAAGGACAAGCATTTATTAATTCTCCACAAGGTCCTGGGGAGATAGTGACAAACAGCTCAGTTCTCACAGAGCTCGCAGTGACTAAATAAGAAATTATAACACAGGAAGAGGGACCCTAAAAAATTAAAAGCAGTAATGACTCAGGCAGCAGCTCTCTCATCCACACTGACCCAGGACGGCTCTCTCATCCACACTGACCCAGGACGGCCCTTTCGTCCACACTGACCGAGGGGCAGCTCAGTCATGAACACAGATGACTATCCTGAGGACGGGATAGGACAGGCTGTGTAGCTCATGTTGTAGGAAAAAGCAACGTCAAAATTAATGTAAATGTTTTGGGTGGCATGAAAGGAGAATCCTTCCTCAGCAAGGTCCCTTGCGCCATCTGAGGTTGCTGAGGCGGCATCTGCACAGCTCCGGGAAGGCCTTAGGAAACTCAGAGGCAGGAGAGGATGCAACGCCGAATGAAACCTCGGAACTTTTTCCAAAGGCAAAAGACCATTAAGACCATACAGGTCTTAATTTTAAGCTAGGAAGTGTCTTCATTAGATTTCTATTTTAGTAAGACAAAATGGTTACATTTCAAAAGGATCAGAAGTAGACGTAATATTGCAAGAATAAAGGAACCTGGTTAAAATCAGACAAGTCCAAGGGAGACAGGATGATGGTCTGGTCTCTTTCCCAAAGGTGGCATGTACACCCCCCTCTGAGCTGTTATTAGGTGGTCCAGGTTTGGGAAATGTCTAGGGACTAACCTCTTTTCCAGCAGACCCTAACCCTGGCCCAGAAGCCCATGAGCTGCCCACAGAGCTCCAGGATACCCTCCAAGAGAGGACCCCAGGGGGACATGAGGTTAGGGTCATGCCCAAGGGTTCTGGCTCCTGTCATTCCTCACTTGGCAATTAGGAACCTTTATTCATCAGGTGGTCCATATTCTGTGCTCTTCAATACAGCTGAAAACTAATTACATTGGTTCCAAAATATACAAAAATAAAGTGTCTAATGTTTATGGAAAACTAGCCATTATATCATCTAGACACTGTATGAATGAGTCAGGGAAAATCATCTAAACTCATATGTGCTTGCACCAGGATCACCTGGAGGCCCCCCAGAATTCTGGATTTGACTGTGCTCAGGTACAGCCCAAGAATCTGCATTTTTAACAAGTTCCTGAAAGAGCTGATGCTATTGATCTGGGGACCATACACAGAGAACCACTGGTTGTATGAGAATCAGCCACTAGACCTTGACCTCTACAGATTCTTTGTGAAACTGAATTGCTTGAGAACAAATCTCCTTTTCTACCTCCCTTTCAAAAAGCACTTTCCCCAGGTTACCAAAGGCAAAACAAACCTCTCACCCATCGTGCACTGCCCTGGGCAATTAAAAAAACAAAAATCCCCAGGGCTCACCACAATGGGATAGTTCAAAATACTGGCTTGGGGCAGGCACAGTGGCTCACGCCTGTAATCCCAGCAGTTTGGGAGGCCAAGTAGGGCGGATTACTTGAGGTCAGGAGTCCATGACCAGCCTGGCCAACATGGTGAAAACCCATCTCTACTAAAAATACAAAAAAATGAGCCAGGTGTGGCGGCATACACCTGTAATCCCAGCATCTCAGGAGTCCGAGGCAGGAGAATCACTTGAACCTGGGAGACGGAGGTTGCAGTGAGCCAAGATCACGCCACCGTACTTCAGCCTGGGCAAAAGAGTGAGACTTGGTCTCAAAAATAATAACAATAATAATGGTTCGGGAGAAGCCACTTCCAATGACTACTCAAAACCCCTCTAACCTACTATCTATGTACTCAGTAAGGGAAGAAGTGTGACCCCAGAACTCGGTGTCTGGACAGGTACATGCTCTGAACACAGCTGCACTCTGGAAGGGGCAGAGGAAAGGGCTCTCCTCTATCTCCTGCCAGTGTCCGAAGTGCAGAGCAGAGCAAACCCTTGAAATCCCTCCCCATTATTCAAAGGGACACGTTACACTTCTGCTCAGCGTTCACCCAAGGATGCCGCTGGCACAGCACGTAGGCAATGCAGATTCTTTCACACACAGGGGCTCCAAAACTTTAACACACACATGTAAAGCCTACAACATAAGTTTTATGCAGCATCTGTTAGATCCAGTTTCCAATAAAATCACAAAGCATTTATTTCACAAACACCAATCCTTGTCTTTGCCATCTCATAGAGCTCATATATACTCACATGGTTTGCATCTGTGTCCCCACCCAGATCTCATGTTGAATTGTAATCCCCAGTGTTGGAGGAGGGGCCTGGTGGGAGGTGACTGGATCATGAGGATGGAGCTCTTACGAACGGTTAAGCACCATCTCCCAGTGCCATTCTCTTGATGGTGAGTGAGTGAGTGAGTGATCACGAGATCTGGTTGTTTTAAAAGTGTGTAGCACCTTCCCCCTCTTTTAGTCCTGCTCCTGCCATGTAGGAAGCCTACTCCCATCTCGCCTTCTGCCGTGAGTAAAAGCTCCCTGAGGCCTTCCCAGGAGCAGCTTCCCACTATGCTTCCTGTGCAGCCTGTGGAACCATGAGTCAATTAAGTCTCTTTTCTGTATAAATTATCCAGTCTCAAGCATGTTTTTATAGCAATGCAAGAAGGACTAATACAGAAAATTGGTAGCAAGGAATCGGGCATTGCTATAAAGATACCTGAATATGTGGAAGCAACTTTGGAATTGGGTGTGGAGGGCTCAGAAGACGACGGGAAGATGAGGGAAAATCTGGAACTCCCTAGATATTGTGGAATGGTTGTGACCAAAATGCTGATAGTGATATGGACAATGAAGTCCAGGCTGAGGAGGTCTCAGATGGAAATGAGGAACTTACCGGGAACTAGAGTAAAGGTCACTGTGATGGTTAATACTGAGTGTCAACTTGACTGGATTGAGGGATAGAAAGTATTAATCCTGGGTGTGCCTTTGTGGGTACTGCCAAAAGAGATTAACATTTGAGCCAGTGGGCTGGGGAAGGCAGATCCATCCTTAATCTGGTGGACACAATCCAATCAGCTTCCAGCGAATATAAAGCAGGAAGAAAGGGCCAGGCGTGGTGGCTCACACCTGTAATCCCAGCACTTTGGGAGGTCGAAGCGGGCGGATCATGAGGTCAGGAGATCGAGACCATCCTGGCTAACACTGTGAAACCCCGTCTCTACTAAAAATCCAAAAAAATTAACCAGGTGTGGTGGCGGGCGCCTGTAGTCCCAGCTGCTTGGGAGGCCGAGGCAGGAGAATGGAGTGAACCCAGGAGGTGCAGGCTGCAGTGAGCTGAGATGGTGCCACTG